GGATAATATAAGGACGGATGAGGGAGATCTAGATGAAAATACTAAAAGGTTGAGTGAAAGGGAAGCAGAATAACATGGTGAGAGTGTGTGTGGAACAACAAAAGAAATATTTGTTCCAATCCTGACCTATACACGTAGCCGGGCACCCATATCTACTGTTGACATTCATTCGTTGAATGTCGGCATTGAAGAAGACATAGCTTTCCCAGCTATGCAATTGCACACCTCTCCCAGCCACTCTGTCAATTCTCAATAAATGACAGTTTCAAATATTCACGGGGATGAAGAACAACTGCGATATGTTCCTCACTTGGAGAAACAAGATAATAAAAATAGTAGACACCTGCTCCAATCTACGACTTCATTTGTGTACACTTAGAGTCTAGAGCTAATAAACACTTTAGGTACACTGGATTCTGGAGCATTAGTTGTTCCATCTGTTGTTCTTAGTCAACATGCCAGAACGACCATAGTAGAGTCATTTGACATTCTATGAGGACAGGTCGGAAGTTCTACTAATGTTAACGTTTTTCCAACACTGAACGTAGGCACAATAGTTTACTCGACTATTGTTACAACTGGTAATCTAAGTGATCTAGGCATTATCTTACCAAACTTTGTGTCAAAGGAATTTTTTGGACAGCTCCTTAAAGGCTGTTCAGGATACCTTAATGGAGGAAATCAATGGCTTAAAACGACTTCTAAAGGGAAAGCAACCAACAATAGAAGAAACTCCTGCTCCGTCGCCACCGCCTGCACCATAACCTCCAACAGAATCAAATTTATCGATGGATGACCTCAAATCCATGCTCTATGCCAAGCTTCTTATTGAACAAAATATGGACTCGACGAATGTAGATCTGGGTGGTATGCTTAGACAGTCATTAGAAGATTCCCAAGCCATTCGAGCCACAAAGTTTATAAACTTTCAGAGCGTTGTAGTTTCAATTCTCTCAAAGCGTGCCTCTACAATTGCTTCTTCTACCCAGTCAATAGCTAACCTGCAAAGCTCCATTAATACACTATTTGGAAGAGTGTCAATGCTAGAGAATACTTGCCAAGATCAAGCCCTTTCTCTCAAAATAAGACATGATGATCAGGACGATCCTGATAACCATGAAGGGGAGAAGAAGAAACAGAGAGTGGCTGAGTCCTCGAGGGGTAAAGAAGTGTTTCTATTTGAAGGTGAGAATTCTAAGGAGCTTAATGATCAAAGTCTTGTTCAAGCTGGCAGTAGTCAAAGAACTACTGGCTTGGAGATGATAATAGCTACAGACCTAGAGATCGAGCCAATGGTTGAAAAGTAGGCGGTCTCCACTGTAGAAACAAGGATGTTACTAGGTCTGTCAGCAAATGTGGGATTCAATAAGGTATTTTCAAAGAAATCGGTGAGTTTCAGGACTATGGAGCTCAAGCTGAAGCTGGAAATCATGATGAGTCAGATGAACTTTTCTTTGACTTTGAAGAGGATATGGATGAACATGAACATATCTTTCTGTTTCAATTTGATCCCAAAGAAGTACCTGAACCAATTCTTCTTGATTCACCAAGTGTTCCTGATACGTCTTCTGTTCCACAAGTTGCATCTACTAAATCTTCAAGAAAATACACACCCTTTGCTGTAAAGATAAATACTCCAGGGTTAGACCGAGCAAGAGTCAGAGAACCATATCTTGAAGACTTATATCTAGACATTTTCGTTCGTTATCGGAAAGCCTTAAGTTCTGAAAAAATCTTGGGTATTCACAAGGAAGCGCATAAGTATCGCAAAGCTTACAAGTATTTCCTCAAAGCAAAACGACAACCTATCAACTTTGTACGAACCAAACACCGGATCATCTCGATGAAGAATATTGAACCCAGGAAACTTGTTAGTGTCTGGTACCTAGTGTTCTATGTGACAAGACAAAGATGGTCAAATTTAGAACTTTAGTGAAGTTGAGTTTCCTAACCTATACTTAGAAGACTTGGAGCACATGTTTCATGAGATCAGAAACCAGGCTATCAGATTGGAAGGAGTCGTCAGAGGTATTGAAGCTATAAAAAGGTATCTTAGATGTCACAACAAGCTCTTTTCAATGATTGATGTGCAAATGGGATACAAAAGTAATCAAAAGAATGTCAACCTAAAGAAGCCTAATCAAGAGTTAGAAGACATTGATGGCTATCCTCTGTATATATGACTCTTGAAGATCTGGAGCTTGGGGTGATCTATGAGAACTCCGAGAAAGCTAAGAGGTTTTTAAGGTTCAACGAGCTTAAAAAGTACTGTGATGGATCAATTAAGATTGTGAGGAAAGAACTTGAAGGAAGAAAAGCTCTGGATGACAAAGCTTCAGGTCATAACAGATTGAGTCTGAGAGAAAGGTTATTACTGATTAGTGCTCTAGAGTTGCTCGACGAGAAGATTCGGTATCGGAATGCTATAAGAAGATATGAGACGAATTTGGGCTTTAAAAGATCAAAATTTGCAATGTCTCGTGCTTGAATCCAAAGGGGGAGAATGTTGGGTTCAAGTATTTGTTCTTAAAAGTTGTATTCAAGCAAGTTTCTCCTTTGTAATTTGTTCTTGTAATTGTAGTGTTCGTAACTTGGTAGTATAAATAGTTTTGTCTTTCTTTTAGTCAGTAGCTAATCTCATTGTAATCACTTTGAAGTAAAATACAAAAACAGTTGGCTAATTCTCTCTTGGTCTTCATACTTTTTATCTACTATTCTTCATCTTTGAGATTGATTTCTATTTGATTAACATTCTAGGAAACACAGAGACTTAGACTGTCTTGCTTTGAAGGCTTCATAAGCACCTATGCATGAGGTAGGGTTGTTATGCATTGCCTTTGGCCCACCTTGCATATGTGCTTTTATTTCATTTCAAATTGCTTAAGAAGACTTCAAACTATCGCATATGTTGAATATCTCATTTGGTATAGCCATAGTAAGAAGTGTCGTTGCCCTTCTGTCAATATTGGCTTTCTTTCTCTCTTCTGCTATTTAGTCTTTTTTTTTCTTGTTTAATTCTACAAGCAGGTATCTCTTGTGTATCACCAATCTTAGGTACAACTGGAATTTCGATATAGCTCTCACAAGGTCCTTCGATTATGGTTCTCATGATATCTTTATCAATATTATCCAAGAATTGTACCATCCTGATCTTCAATGCTAACATACTCGTTAGACATTGTTAGATCTCAATAATCATACAACTAAATAGAATTAAGGTTCCAAGAAATTGAAATTGTAGCATAGATTGATTCTAAATTTAACTTGTGATTAAAAATAATCAAATATTGTCAATAAATTTCAATTACAAATTGAAAACATATAGTTTATCAAATGATCTTGAACATGAAAGCGAGAAAAAAAAATCTTCAAATTTGTAGCTGCTTCCTCTTATACCAATTGTTAGATCCCGTTAACAATAGATCTCAACAATGGAATAGTCAAATGAAGTATACTACAATTAAGATAAACATAGATTGAGAGAAAGTCATCATTTCATTCGTTGATAGATAGATAAAGTACAAAGCTGTTAACTATCAAGATACAAATTGAGATCTTACCAACTAACTAAGTCTATAAACTATTAATATTAATACAGAGGGAATACTAGAGTCACATGCCTGTAAGATACAATCAAGTAGAAACAAAACATATGTTACAAACAGATAAATTCGCTAAGTATTAAATTAAATTTGGAAAGGTATATCAGACTTCTATTCAGACTTCTGAATCTTCAGGTTCAAATCTCTAGGTCTTCACATCCAGATCTCTCTGAAGAAGTCTAGATCAACAGTCAGAGTTATGTTCTTGCCTTGAGCAACTTTAGATTTGAATCTACATCATGTAATAAATATTCCATTATATGTATATATAGATGATTCGTAATTAGTAAAGATAAAATATGTCATCAATCAACATATATAGGGCACAAGAAATTCTGTTGACATTTTAGGACGTTGATGCATTTTTTCCCCCGTCAAATTGCATATAAACCTTCATTTTGGGAATTCATACAATTGCTAAATGATACTAACAATTATGAGGTATATTTTTTCATTATTCTTTTTCGATTTTTAGATTTTTCATATATTCATTTCATTTCTTACAAATATAGCATCCAATTGAATTTTGTCCTTCATTACAGGTTAAATCTACTCAAATCATGTATTGTTGCAGATGACATGGTTTTTTTTTATGGTGAATGTGATTGCTGAACATGGCTCAATATTTTCACTTATTATTTTTGTATAGTTGACTTAAAGAGATAAAAATATTACATGAGACTAATGACAAAAATCATAAATTATACAATGAACATTACTTTGTTCCTAACTTATCGATCTCTCTCTTAGGCGAAGAATCGTGTGAAGGAGAATTAATGTGATAAGTGTAAGAAAAGATCTGAAACCTTGATCACCTTTAATCTCAATGAAACGCGCTTGATACGATAATTGATCTGACACATCTCATACTAATATGTATCCAATGGTAAAATTCTCTCCCTATGCTTCTGACCTTAATTCTCATTTTTATTCTCTTATTTATATTGTTATTATAATTTAGGGAAAAAGTCCAAAAAAACCCAATGGACTTTACTGTTTGGAACAATTAAGTCCTTGGATAATTTTTTAAAACAAATAAATCCTTGGACATTATAAAATCTATTAACTTGTTAAATAAATCCTTGTTATTTGAAAACTTAACTTGTAACCTGATCAGCAGGTAAACTTAAATTAAGAAGAAAAAAAACCCTAATAACTCCCCGTCTCCCACTCGTCTCCACCCTCCACACCATCGTCGCTGCTTAAACCCCCCACGCCACCGTCTCCCTCCCGCCGGTCGCCGCGCACCACCTCCGTCGCCGCGCACCACCTCCGTCGCCGCGCACCACCTCCGACACCGTGCACCACCCCTGTAGTCGCCGCACCACCGTTGTGGCCGCTCGTTGCCACCGCACCTAGCCCTCTCTTCGTTCGTCGCCATACACCACCGTCACATCACCGGTCGCTGTTGTTGCACCTTCCCTATTGCCGGTCCGCTGCAGTTTGATCTAATCAGGTTTGTTCCAACATTGTTCATCATATGGTTACATTTTAATGTGCAACTTACATATCTACAATATCAAAGATGAATCCTGTTGATTATTATAAATTTGTTTAGATTGAGAATGAGTTTTATCATGAGCTATGAACATGTTGATTATTATAAATTTGTCCAATAAGTTAGTAGGTAGTGTAGTTGACAATTGGCGCAAAGACAAGGCAGAAATATGTTTTACCTTATGAAACCTCCTTTCTCATACTTCTGTTTCTATCTCAATTTGATAATAGAGTATAAGAGTACTACAAACTTCAGTTGTTGTTAAACAAATTCTCTATGAAACATGCCTATGTGTTTGGCTCTTATCCTACTATGAACCTGCAATTGAGTATTTGGCTACATCTAAAGCCCTGCCACGCTTATTGGAGGTTGTCAAAGGTTCAATGAAAGAGAAGGTCTTCCCTTATCCCTCCATATATGTTTAGTTTATTTCAATTACTATTTATTCAAGCTGGGTTCTTTTAGTAGTCAGTTCGTCTTTGTTTTTGCTTTCTTTATCTCACATTTCCATGCTTAATTGTTTCTCGATTCTTATTCAATCTATTCAATGTATGCATCAGATGCCTGCTATTGTAGTATCAAGTTCCTTTGTGCCTTTAGTAGATTGTTATGTACCAATTTAAGTAAAATACTACAACATGATGATCTAACATTTGAGGGGTGTTTCATCAATGGTTGCTAGGTTGTGAGGTTAATAGTCTTGATTTTCAAGAACTTGTTTGCCAAAGAAGCTTCGGAGCTCAGGTGGTAGATCTTGGACTTCCACAAATTGTTCAAAGTTTGAAAGCGTAGGCCTGGAGTGACGAGGTAAGGATTTACTTTAACAGGAATGGATTGATGCCTTGCCAAAAAAAAGTATAACTAAAGCAACCAAATTTGAGAAGAAATTTGATGGATTGAGATATTTGTGCTAAATGTCTGAATGCGTGTTATAGAGACTACTTATTGCATTCGTATTTTTCCTACTTTTCTGTGTGGAGGCAAGGAGACCTAATACAAGTGTACATTTATTTAGAGATTAACCTTCTAGTAACTTGTGTAAGCTCTTTTTGGTATCTGTCGATGAGGTACAAATGTGTGTTTCTTGTTATAATTTCATTTGCATGTCAAGCTGTTGATTTATCTTTATCAACTCTTAAAATATTATGTGCTAAAGCAAAGGTTATATGTTTGTGCAGTTGGAAAGCAACTTATGATAATTTGCTTGGGACCAACAAGCCTTTTCCACGGCCGATTCCTCTACTGGTAAGTCTTCCTCATGTGTTGTATGTCCTATTATCTATTTCCTTAGAAAAGAGATGCATATATTTTTTTTAACGAGTTATTTTTCAAGCTTTAATCTCAAACTGGACTATGAACAATTTCATAACACGAATTTCAGATTAACAGTTAATACTTTTTGTTGTAAACACACTCGTTCATATGAAAATGCAAAAACACACCATCTTTTGCAAGAAAGAATGATTTTGGATTAAATATTGCACATACATTAATGCCCTTACTTACATGATTTGTCCAAAATCGATAATTTTTGCAAACTATTGTGTTTTTCCGGTATTTTCACAAAAAACCAATTATTTGTTTACAATGAGAAACCAAGTGTGGTGGTTCAAAAACATAATCATTCGAATCGAATTTCTTTTTATGGTAATTTGGCAACAAAATCCATTACTAATTCCAACATGGGGAGATATATCCATGATCACCCATCTTTGTTGCTGCATTACTCTTTTATGACTCCAAAATCATGCAGGAAATGGTGAATTTTCTTGTTGATGTCTGGGAAGAAGAGGGATTGTATGACTAAATAGCTGCAAGATGAAGGGATCGATGTTTTTTCAGCCAATTGGAACATGATTATTTAGTTGATATCGTTGTGCAGAGTTTGTGTTTGTTTCAGCTGGTCTGAACTTACGAACTGGGGTTCATTACAGTTTTTAGAGATCAACTCATCTTGAGAAAATGTAGCCACAAAATCTACATTATTTTGGGTTTATAAACGTTGTGTTCAGTTAGATGGGTTTGCCCCTGAGCTTGGTTTGAAAATAATTTGTTTTGAGATGGAAACGGACATGCCTCATTTGTGCAAAAAGGGTTTGTAATCGGCAATCCGAGCCAACCCATATTGCCCATCCCAACATAATGATCATGTAAGAGGCAAGTTAGGTATGTAGCGACCCTCTGGATGATTGACAACAAACCCAAACCAAAATAAGCAGTAAACATCAAAATTAGTTTTTTATCACCAAACCAAATCAGTGTGAATTTAGTTTTTTGGAGATTTTGGTAAAATTTTGCTCCAAATCTCTCTCTCTCTCTCTCTCTCTCTATATATATATATATATATATATATATATATATGGAAGGGTTCAAGAGAAAAGATGTGAAGACAAATAGCTAGAAATCAAAAGATGATTATGAAATAAGGAGACAAATGCAAAAGGGTTTGCTTTGATTTAAGAGTTAAATTGGTGGTTTGCTATAAATATAAACACTTTTTTCGTTCAAATAATGTTTAAGAATTTGATCGTTCAAAATATGAAAGTCCATTGGTTTTTTTTCGGACTTTTTTCACTAACAAAATGTATTTAACATATTTTAGAAAATCCAAGGAGTTATTTAACATGTTTTGTAATGTCCAATGACTTACTTAACAGGTTCTAGAATGTTCAAGGATTTATTTATTCCAAAAAAATGTCTAAAAACTTAATCGTTTCAAACAATAAAGTCCATTTGATTTCTTTGTACTTTTCCCTATAATTTACGGTGCAATCATGGTGTAAAATATATATACTTGTCACTTTAATTGACTTCAAAATAATGAAATTTAAATTGATAAGTTGCAGAGTTTATAAACATTTAAAAATCTACGTTTTTCATCCATAAAGTCCTTCACATTCTAACAGAAATAACCGTCGTCAACCATGATCATTGCAAGCCTAATCCACTATTTGTTGCCAATCCTCACCGTCCTACTGGCTTCCACCTTTCTTCTAATAACCGCCAGCCACCTAACGCCGCCTCCATCTTCTCCGGCTCCTGGAGGCTGCGCCGATTCTGTTATCTCCTTTTCGCCTTGCCTTCCCTACATATCTGCACCGCCAAATGACCTCTCGGATGATCCTTCATCTCAATGCTGCGACATCTATGATGGAGCCTTTGATTCCGGCGAGGCTGAATGTCTCTGTTACCTTGTTCGTCAGAGCACGCTCCTCGGTTTTCCTATTAACGCCTCCAAGCTGCTTTCCTTATCAGATCTCTGTGCACTTAGTAACAATAGCCAGGCGAATAATACGGATCTCTCTCTCCAGTCCATCTGTTCAGGTTCGCATGTCTTCCATTTTTGATTCTGTGTAAGAAATCGGATATCTTAACTATATTTAATTAGTGTTCTTTTCTGGAAGTTTCTCCGATTTCAAGGAGTCAAAATCAAAAGCAGAAAGAATGTTTCCATGAACATGCCTCTAAGTGGATCCTCCACTGCTTGATCATAGAATAAAAATTGGAAATTTTGAGCGTAGGGTTTTGGGAACTTATAAGGGGCAAGGTAAGGGGGATTTTGCTTCAGATCACGAAAATGTAACATATTCATAAAACATATTGTTGTGTGGCTGTATGCATCAATTTCTTGTTTTGGAACTGAAAGAGACAAGCACAAGTATAATCACTGAGGACTTCTTAAATAAATCTTTTTGACAAATGGTATGAAATTTAGATAGTGATTAGGTGCCTTAACATAACATCCAATAAAACAAAATTGCTTTGTTTCATGTCAGTATTGTTTGGATTTGGGGGTATAAATTCAGTCGTTTTCTTGATGTTTTCTCTTGTCTAAATGAATTCTTCGACTGTTATGATCAAAGTAGTTTGTATCTTGGTCAAATTCCGATGGCTTTTATGTTATGCTGGTATGATCATGGAGTTATTGCTGACCTTAATTCATTGCTTCAGGCTCACCAACTCTGCCTCCGCTCCTGAGCACGACAAAGAAGCCCCATTCAGGTTTCTATTGGAAATTTTATTTCCCTAAATGTTCGGCTGATTCTTTCATGAATCTTGTTTTGATCAATCCCATTTAACAGAAGAACCTTAAGCCTAAACTGGTCTAGGGTTTAGGGTTTTTAACAACACTACTTACTAGCTTCTTAATCATATATAATACATACTGGTATGCAATATTTGGACTGCACAAGATTTCGAAATGAAAAGTTACACAGGGAACTTAAAAATAACCTTATCTCTAGCTTCTTAATCCATATATATCCCATTGGACAACACACATTTTTGGAAGTCGTCCCTCATATGGGAACAATAAAAATAACCTTTTCTCTATATTGAGTATTTAATATATGAGTTCTCCAAATTTGGATATCTCCAGGAGAAGTTTTTCATATCTCCCATACTTTTCAACTTTGGAAAATCTGACAGAGATAGATGTAACGGATGGCATGTGATTTGGTTATGCATTCGACATCATGCCATTGACCAAACATACAAACGCATCTGTTGAGGAGGTTCATTCTTTCAATTACTGGAAGTATATAATAATCATATACCGGAAAACTCACACACAGTCCTCACTTGTGATTGGCTTTGCATCTTTAACCATCAAGGAGGTTGTAATCTATCACTAATGCGTGTATCGCGGGGCCAGTGACCCTTTAAGTCATTATTCTAATTATGTTAACATAAAGCACAATGATATTGCAGGTTCTCATGCTCCTCTGCCACCGTCAGCAACCACCATACCAAGTTCTGCCAAGAATGCATCTAGACCAGTAAGACCACCCACCAGCAGGCCATCTACGTCAAAGCAGAGGAACAATGGCAACTATCCGAAACCATCATATGCCATTGATCTCCTGTCCATTTGTTGGTATTTTTTGATCAAATTCCAGTAGGTATCTTGGATTTACAGCAGGGATGGAAGTAGATCTGGCGCATAAAGTCTTGTTTTCTCTGAATCAGTTTTGGTGCAATTTAGGAATTAGACCACATCATGTAAAGACGTTTGATGTACATGGTAAAGAGTAAAGACTGAGGGTATGTGTTTCAATAAATAATGTGCAATTATATATCAAGAGAACCTATATTTTGCATATATTTTAGCTCTACTATTTTGGGTAGAGGTCAGTTTTGCATGTGTCCGTCCCATCCGAGACCATGCCGCTGGGTGAGATATATTATGCTTGTTTGGATTGATCTAGTTTGGTTTATTTCTAACATGTCAGTTGGGTAAAATGAAAAAGTAGGTAGAACAAAACGGATAAAATGAGTCAAAACGTTGTTGAAATTATACAAATGCTTGAAACCTCTGTATCACTATTATTTTGAGTATAGTTTTTTGTAGAAGCATTTAATAAAGTGAATTACATGTTTGGTCACTGTGGTTTACACGTTTTAACACCGTGTGCATGTCTAAAGTGAAATCGTTATGGAAAATCACCTTGCGGTTTACATTTTAACACAAGTTCAAGTAGTTGAAAGTTTGGTCATAGAATAAGAGAGTGACATATTATTTTATACTAGCTAGCACAAATCGATGGGAGGTCAAAAGTTACTTGCAATCGATCAATTGGAAACTCGAAATCTTGCTCCTACCTTGCCATTTTCTTAAAATATGTGATCCTCAAGGAATGAGCTATAATTTGGCATTTAATTACTGGTCACTGCCCTATTAAAACTTTATGGACGACCAACAAGTCAATTTCAAAGTCTAATGGTTTTTTCTATTTTCCACTTTTGAGGCATTGACAGTAAGTCACAAATCCCTACGGTTTATGTGACCTCTAGGTGATATATATCCTTGGTCGCATGACCTCCATGCGTACACAATGATATGCGATTTTTCAAGTGACACGCAAGTGCACCATTTATGTAGTGTAGCTTTTCCCCTTGAAAATTTGACTTGCTAGATGAAATCTTAATCGCCTACAAGTCGTGTACAACACCAGAAAAGGGTGTGTATTATTTTAAGCACTCCACCTTCATAAACAAACAAAACCATCTTCATTTAGCAACTTCCATATATATATATCGACATTTACCATACTCCAACATTAACGAGTTTCAACATTCATCACCCTCCAATACTAATGTCAAAATGATGCCAATAATAAGAAAGTGAACCAAAGATTAGGTGTACAGCTCTCCAAGAGGACTCCGTAAGCCATGTATATCTTCTCCTTTCCTAAAAGTGTCAACTCACCGTTAATACGGTCTTAGCTAAATCAGGGTCGAGCAATGCTCGAAGACGACGTAATTAATAACATACTTCGTGAACATCTTTAAAGCATTGTCGTCCATGTGAATATCCACTAAAAGAAGAACCTTGTCTTCATGCAATGCTAGCATAAATAATTCGTGTAAACCCAAATGTAAATGTGTTCAGTCATTGAATTAAACATTGGATTGTCCGGTTTAGTGAATTGTGCTCAAGATGTGGCCGGTGGCATCCATATTTTCTTAAAACTAACCTAAATCACCCAGGAGATCCTCTATAACAATGCTTCCTTAGCAGTTTCACAACTCGACTTCGTAGTACACAAAGCCATAATAGTTTTAAGCTGGCTCTCTAACTGATAGTCGTTCCTCACTGTGTAAACACATATAAGTATCATCTTTATTTGGAAAATACAATCCATAACAAAATTGCATTCGATACAACAATATGCTCTTAGTAAATTCCAGTATGGCTTCTTTAAAATTGTGATACAAAACAAGGATATACAATATGGAAAGTTCAGGAGTTTCTAGTACGGCCACACCTTATATTCAAGCATGGGTGCAAGTAATGTTACTTTGCAAAATAGAAAGTTTTTGTTGTTCTGACACGATCGCACCTTATATCCAAGCACGAGCATGTGTAATGTTTGTAAGACAAAAAGTTTTGAGTGTTCTAAGATGGTCGCCCCTCATAATCAATCACGAGCGGGAATAATATTATTTCATGAACAGAAACATTTAGGTTTTCAGACACGACCACATCTTATAATCAGCCCAGCCGTGCGTCACGATAATGTTGATCATCTCTCTTATTGATTTGATGATAATCCCTTTTACCTTTCGAAGTATTATTGTTTTTGTCTTTTCAGTTCCAGCGATCATCATTGAGTCTGCTCCGTGATCGCTGAAACACACATTGTAATCCTACAGCGACAACGATACTTCAAGAAGACAAAACTCACACCCAAGAACCTTTAGTGAATGTCGAAGACTGAAACTGAAAATTAGTAACTGGCGTGTTCGTGATCTGAACTGGTCAACATATGTGTGAAGACTACACAAGCCTCAATGAATGCTGAAGAGACCTCCAGTGTTATTCCAGCATTCAGCGATCAAATGAAGCTTGCCATGCATGATTGTTTTTGTCTTGTCCTTCCACACACAAAGGACAAACCCATACCCTTTCAAGAGTATAGTACTGCATGGAGTCGACTAGTGGACTCTAGTGCCCACCAACTCCACGAAAGGATGTTTGCTCATGAATAGACAATAGTACTATTCACTGTTGCAAAAAAAAAAAACTTTCCTCTTAAAGCTTGACGCGTGTTCTAACCCTTCTGATTTGCATTTAATGCAATGGGTATAAATAGTTGAGTGCTCTCCTCATGCACAACAGATATCTACAACACACAAAAGAACACATACGCTTATCTTCAAACAAGTTAGAATTTCTCTCAAAATTCTAAAGTTCTTACCCAAGAAGAACATCTTTCAGTCTATATCTTTTCGGCAAATTTCTTATAATTGCTAAGTATATATGTGTGTAATCTTAGATTATTTTAAATAGGTTATCTTTACCTTTTCTATTTCCGCAAACAATCTGTATTGACCCTTCTATATCAATATATATTTTTAAATAGGAAAGTTTTATGTGTTTGTATTCATTCCCCCACTTCTACAAACTGTTCCTCTAAACTCTTGTAGACCCGGCTGAGACCAACAAATGGTATCAGAGTAGTGTTTTCTTCTCATCTTGTTTAGTTGTTTATCTGCATTTTATTTTCTCTTTTTTCTCTAGATAATTTATTGCTTTACAAAATGGCTTTCCAAAACACAAACACAAACTTTCACGATAATGGCTTTTTTGCCAAATCTCCCCGATTTATAAGAGACAACTTCAGTCTTTGGAAAAATTGGATATCTCTTTTCTTGGAAGGTGTGGATCATGAGATCCCACATTATATAGAGAATGGACCTTATTTCCTATATGCTATATCTCCGGCTGTCCTGAAACAGCTACGACTGTCGTGATTCCTGAACGGCAGATTCCTAAGATTCCTCATCAATGGAGTGATGAAGAAAAGAAGAAGGTGGCTATATATATATTCGATCGAGATCTGTTAGGACTAAATTTCAGTGTTAAATTGTATTCGTCTTGAAAAATAAATTTGTCTATAATTGTTTTAAAGTCATCGTGTTTGACTTTCCTTGTACATTGACTTTGACTTTGAAGGGTTCAAGTTTGACCCTATAAATAGCTTGTATTTAGTGATTTGTAAGTAGGAGATTCATTGAAAACATTACGTATACATTTGAGAGATTATAAAGCTTTGACCAGATTGACTTTCTCTCTCAATCTCCTTCCAAGTTCTTGAATGATAAATGTTGATCTTCTCTATCAGTAATTTGATGATAATCCCTTTTCACTTATACGTTGTATTTATGTTTCTGTCTTTTCAGTTCCAGCGATTTTCACTGAGTATGTTCGGTGATCGCTAAAGAACTTACATTGTAAATCTATCAGAGACAACAATACTTTAAGAAGACAACACTCACACCAAAGAATCTTTAGCAAACGTCGAAGACTAAAACTAAAGACTAGAGACTGGCGAGTACGTGATCTGAAGCGGTATTCAATGATTACAAGCCTGTCTACATATGTGTGAAGACTGCTCAAGCTTCAGCGAAAGATGAAGAGACCTTCAGGTCATTCCAGCATTCAACGATCAAAGGAAGCTTGCTTAGCACGATTGTTGTTGTCTTGTCCTTATACACACAAAGGACAAACACCATACCCTTATGAAAGTTGGTACGGTACGGAGCCGACTAGTCGACTCTATTGTCCACCAACTTTAGGTAAGGATGTTTGCTCTTGAACAGTGCTTTTTATACTATTCACTGTAGCAAAGGACAAACCTTCCTCTTAAGGCTTGACACGCACTCTAACCCTACCACATTGTATTAAATGAACATTTAATGCACTGTGTATAAATAGAAATGTTTCTTCTCCATGCAGAGTGCGCGCAACTCACTCTCTAACACTAATTCTTACTTCAAGCATTTTCTAGCTTAAGTAAAGGATCTTCTCTGCAKCATTTCTTTTCTTGTATTTGCTAAGACTTAGTGTGTAACTAAAGATTGTTTAGATAGGTTTTTGTCACCTTATCTTTCCGCAAACAATCTTGTAAAATCTGTATTGATCTTATTTATCAATATATATTTTAAATTTGAAAATATTGTGTTTGTATTCATCCCCTCCTTCTACAAGTTGTTTTACTATTCTTGTAGACCCTCAAGGGACCAACAAGTGGTACCAGAGCAATATTTTCTCTCTCTTTCTCTCTCTCTCTCTCCCTCTTTTTTTGTTTAACTGTTTTCTGTATTAGTTTATCTCCTTTCTTAGATAACTTTACCGCTTACAAATGGCTTTACAAATTACAAACACATATACACAAGCTAATGGCTCTCTTGCCAACCCTCCCCGGTTTATCCGTGACAATTTTAGTCTCTGGAAGAACCGGATGTCTCTCTTTCTGGAAGGTGTGGATCCTGGAATTCCACATTATATAGAAAATGGACCATATATTCCATTTGTCTCAAGACAAATGAGTCTTAGGACACCTTTTCCATGTGTCTCAAGATGTCGAATGACATGTCCACTCTTTCTCTTTCTACTTTATACGGGATTCTGCTTAACCATGAGCAATCTCGTCAACTGAAGAGGAATCTTGTAAAAGAGTCCAGGGAAATGAAAAGCTCTCCTTTGGCTTTGATCTCTGAGGCTTCTTAAGTTGAAACTTCTTCTACCCCTTTTGAACTTCTCTTCCTCCCGTTGTTATCACAGAGATAG